GCGGTGCTGCGACGCCACTTGGCCGAGCTTTGACAATATTGATGACGTGTCGGAGGCAAACCAGACTGCCCTCGAGCGCACTGTACAATGTAGCGGTCTCCTCCAGGCTTAATCTTCTTGGAACCGCTGCTGCTGGGAGGACTCAAAGTCCAATAGCTATCCTTGCTACCATCATAACGTGCGGATAAGGGAGCCGGTGGCTTTTGTAGAACAAACAGCGGCACGTCCCTCCCAGGGTGCAAACCAAGCACTACCTGATAGCAGCAGTTTCACTCTGACTTTCTCGGTAGCTAACGCACGCACGTTGGAACCTTGTAATTTACCATGAACAGATCCCACGGAATGAACACCTTTGCAAAGGTGTCATTCGATAGCTGGACCGATATCTTCTCCAAAACGTAGGGGATAGTACCGGCAGGACAAAAAGGAGCTGAAAACTTGCGCAAATAAGTCATCAAGTGGCTGACAACGCTAGCTTGATTTTGCAAGAGGCCCGTAGTCAATCGGAGTCTTTTTTCCAAGTAGCCTTTGAAGCTGGCTCCAATTGCATTCAATCCGATTTGTTGTAGTACTTCCTGCTGTGAAGCAGTTATCACGGTCACGATTGGACCACATGTCGCAACACAACTCCCAATTCTCTTAAAAGTACGTGGAAATCTGACCAGGGTCTCTTTCTAAATCGCTCCAAGCCGTCTCTTGTACAATTGAACGTACATCATCTTCTTTACTAATTTTGATATTGCTGAGCACCGTTGAGACCATACGCTGCTCTCTTGATGACCTTCTTTCAGTTTGACAATGTGTGGAATTCGCTCAACAACACCGTCACTTGAAGGAAGCATTTCTCCAACATGGGCCACATAGTAGGAGAGGAGGGCACAGTAGCCATGGCATGGGATCAGGCTTTCAAGGCACTTACTGACCGGCTAACGATGGCAACGCGCAAAACAAACACGGTGCAGCAACGAGCAAATCTTGCCACTGCCATCATCATTCCCAAGCTGCTATACATGCTTAGCCGGATCCGACCATAGTGACACCAGCTGATCGAAATAAGTATTTTGTTTGGAAGTCCGACCCGGAAAAGGCTCCAGTCGGATGGGTACTAGCGGAGATAGCTGCGCTGGCGAGCGCTGCTGGAGGATTGGGCATACCCGACATAGCCACGGAGCTCCAAGCCATGGCGACACACACGATTGGACTATGAGGACGACAGACCAATTACCCAACTGATAGGGCGTTTATTGCGCTCAGCGATGGGATGTCATGAGGAGGTAATTGTACCTAGACAGCGCTCAACCATACACACGGCACGATCGATCCTGTGGGAGTCGGGGCTACCATGGGTAGATCTACAATGGACCGAAACGGATGGTGCGGGCACGGTCTATGGAGGTTTCGAAGAGCGACAGCTGAGATGCTTGCTTCGGTATAGAAAAACTTGGTCACTCGATGGCAACATGACGGAGAGATGTACATTTGAGGCATTAGCCAAAGACCCTATAGCTCACATGACGACACAAAGAATCGCAGATCGTGGAGCTTTCTCGTATGCGGCGTTTCTCGAGTTACCGATCACGGAGCAGATACAGAGACTCGCAAGGAGTACAGAGACCATGGACGGAGCTGGCGGCACTTGCCATCCGGCGTACTACAGACAAGCTCGGCGACGTCCGCCGCGTCTCCATCATACCCAAAGGTGACGTCGTCTTCACTCGAGTGCGACAGGCAATGTCTCTAACTAGCCGAGCAGCTCATCAATTCCGCGACCTGAGCCTGTCCACACTGGCCCAATTCCCGGAGTTAGCGCTCGCTCAATTGGATAAGATGGTGCAGCAGGTGCACCGTTCCCTGGCGAACATCACCATGAATTTCAGGTTGACAAGAACGAGGGAGGGGCACACGTTCGCCACTCGTGGGTTTTTGATAACTCCATGGTAGCCTGGGATCGGGACGCCATAGCTGCGCACTTACAAGTGGGCACAGAGTCTCTTTGGATACCCCCCCCCCCCAGCCGGAGATAACATTGGTCCGACTCGTATGGGCTGGTAAATGCAGATGGACTCAGTCGCGGAAACGATACAGACGTATAATAATGGCAAAACGTACTAGTGCAGCGAAAGCAGCACTGGACAAAATAAAGGAGAAATAGGCACAACAACACCCCGGCATTGCGACCGCATTTGCCAACATCAAGCGGCACGATTTTCATCGCATGGAATCTGTCACAGCCTACCCAACCCAAAACCTGTCATAACTTAAGTGGAGCAGACTGCGGTTGTGGGCGGGAGCAAAACGTGGCTTTTAATGTACAGTAGTACTATCGCAAGAGCTGTTGCGGCACAGCACATCTAAGATGGGACTATCCGTGGGCACAGAAGTTCTGGACGGTATTGCTCAGTAATTGGAGGCAGTGCAGGACATTTTCAGCTTTCGATTACGACAAATACCGGACTGGATCGTTGATTGGGGGGGGGCTGATAAGGACCTGGGTACGTGGGAACGCATACAGGAGCTAGCACAAATCTGGTGGAAACTCAGCTGTGCGGTTAAAGGCACGATGATATGGAGATGGAGAGTAGACCTCGCCCATGGGTACAAGCCTGTTCAGGATCTGAACAGCACGATTTAAAGCGTAAAGTTGATAATTGGAGAAGCATATCAGAGAGATATGCTTGGACTATGTCCAGTCTCCCCGCGGTCGATGGCTATTATACAGGCTGCGCAATTTTTACTAAAGAAGTGACACCGTCACACACCGGTCTCAACGATACAATCCACCCGGGACCACTGGTCCGGGAGGCGGTGGAAGTGTCATCATGACTGGTGATCACACCGAGCAGTCACCTCAGCTGATATGAGCTGCAGCTACATCAGTACAGCACCAACACATCACTTATAATCTAGCAGATTTTATCGGGCTACAGCGACAACCGAATTGCGCGGTTCGCGCGGATGGAAAGGACGTCATGTTGTCGGAGACAGCGCGCCAATCATTCAGATGATGCTAAAGCGCAAACCACCCAAAGCGAAAAGACTAAGGCACTGGTATTGGATCTCACGGCAATTAGCCGATCAATGCGCAGTCGCAACCTTTACACACCATTACAGACATTATAACAAGACTGCAGTGGCTAATTAACTACGCAACCGATCACAAGTGCAGCGTATGCTGAGCTGTACTATGGAGAGCAAGGACCACCAGATGTGGCAAAAGGCAGAGCAGCTCAAGAGATGTGACTTTAATAAGTGGGTGAAAGGACGAGCAGTCCTGGACGGCGCTCTCGCCGGACGGGATGACTAGCTGAAATCAGAACACGAAGCCTGCGAGTCGTGTGAGATCCATTCTCTAAGGTAACAAGAAGTGCAACGCAACGAAATCGCCACATGCTGTCTATCCAGCAAACCGAAGCACCACCAACACCCTTTTCCCGTAATCGGTTGTCCATGTGTCGTGATGCAAATTCAAAAACGGCGTAATCTGCATCAATTTGAGCTCCAACATTAGCAACCTCGCCACCATTTCACAAAATCTCGAGAACTGCATGTCCACCAAGGTGCGGTACGATGCAGGAGATGGTAATGTCGCTTTCGGGTTACCTGTAGCCACTTGGAAGAACTTCTTGAAGTTAGTACTCAGCGTTGTGAAGTGGGCGATGCCGTCGTATATCGGTCACGGCATCAGAAAAAAACGCGTATCATCGACGCTGCTACTCTCGGCATCAGAGCGTCAAATGTTGCTTGACGCTTTGGCGGTCCCTCACGGCTATCGGAGCGTGTCGGGTCAGTAATAACACCGGCTTCTGCATAAGCTGCGTCGATATTTTTGCGCAAGCGTTTGCTTTTCTGCATTTTGACAACCTTCCCAACGTCGAATTTCAGGTGGTGGCGCCCATATGACCCTTGGCATTTGCAGGATGGCCCCAGCGAAACAGAACACCCTCCCACGTGTCCTTACTTGCGCTAATATTAAAGGTCAGCTCTTGAACACACAAGAAATACACACAGTAAGCACACGTGTGTGTAGAGAGTCGGGCTTCCGCTCTTAAGGTACGGGATATCGAGAGCATGAGCCACTCGCCAAATTTCCGAACGCGTTCCAGCGCCTTGAAAGTGCCGAATCGCTAGCGGAATACCGTACTCGTCAGCAAACACAGTCACTTGTCCAAGTTGCAACAGAGACAACTCCGTAGCTTAACTTTAGAGCGATTTATCCGTCGAGCTTGACAGCTCTACGCTGACAGCACTCGGGCAGGAAGTTGGAATCATGGCGTGCTTTCCAGATGACCAATTTGCAGCACATGAAGTGCTACACAACCTAGCTATTTCGTGTTTGTTTTTAGCGCTTGCAAAAAGGAAAAGTGCTACAGTATTAAATGTAGCACCAACCTTACGGACAGATCATCCGAATCCAAGACTTTGTTATTGCATAAAAGATGCACTAGTTTGGCGAGTGTCACTGGGTTGCTGCAACTGGCCATTGCGCACTTCATCTTGGACGTGTTAATGTCGATGACAAATTTAAAATGAGGACTGCTGTGCAGCTCGGTTGCGCTAAGGCTTTGGCGCTCACGTTTCTGAAATTAAAAAAATGCCGTGCCACAACATCCTCTAACGAACAACAGCGGTGCACTAAAATGACCGTCGTCCAAATCGTTTTACAATTAGTAGTTTCTTAGTACTATTCGAAGCCAACGTAAGTTACTGAAGTACTCAGCAGTAGGATAATTTTTTAGCTACATATTACTATTGTCGTTTGTAGTACTATAGTACTGCTGGGTTTTACTATCTGCTGCCTTACTGCCCCCTCTACGCTTTTTGTCAATTTCTACAAATCACTTAGAAATAGCATTGCGCCTTCTGAAAGTGTTCAAGAAGTATTAATACCATTTAACTTCGAGCAGATGTTTTTCACCAAGCGTAACCCGGGCTACGCCGTAGCTAACGGGTACCCTTACAGTGGGTACTTTTACACTTTTTTGGTTGGTCATTCCAGCACGATGGCGACGATTATTAGCAAGGCGAAGCCGTCCCTGGATGTGTACAAGCAGAGTTTTCGCGAGTATCTGGTACCTTCCCAGCTGCTACGTACGCTATTTAGCTGCACGAATTATTCTCACAGTATCCTAAACGCCTCTAGCACGAGACCGACGCCGTGAAGGATGAGACGGAGTTAGAGCAGCTCATGAAGCTGCTACACGAACCTCTTCCAGTGTCCTTCCGACTCAACCTGCACCGTCCTGACGCTTCAAGGTGGCTGCAATAAATAATCGCAAACGGTTTTAATAGTATTGACACAAAATGTTACAGACTGAAGGAGATGCTGGCCACCAAGTTCCAATTCCCGAGCGACAAGTATTTCCACGGAGAAGTCCCCGTGAACCCGCCCAAGTAACATAGCAACAGCGCAATCAAAAGCCCAATACTAGTGCTAATTAGCTGTTCTTTTGTGTTATTTCAGACCAATCGCGTGGTATCCGCTAGAAAAGGTGGCGTGGCAAATGGACTGTGGACGTGTGGCGCTCTCGAAAAGTGGTGAGTTGCACTATCAATTGCAGACAATTGAAGGATGCAATAACTAATTATTCGTGTGAAATTTTAGCTCCGAAACACGAGGATGTGCGTGCGTTCCATTCGTGTTTATTGGAGCAGACGGACCGTGGCAATATCGACCGTCAGGAGGCTGTGAGCATGTTACCAGTATTGTTTCTGGACGTGCAGCGTAGCCACCGCGTGCTCGATATGTGTGCTTCACCCGGTTCAAAGACGACGCAAGTAATCGACTTTTTGCTCTCGACTGAGAACGGGGACAATGGCGAACAGAGTGGCCTAGTGATTGCCAACGACCTGGACAAAAAGCGAGCGTATATGCTGGTGCATCGTCTGTCTCGCAACACGCTACGTCGCGCAGTGGTAACGTGTGGCGCTGGCGATACATTCCCAGGTCTGTACGATGCCAAGACGAAGACTCTACAGCCCACCAACGTGTTCGACCGCGTGTTGTGTGACGTTCCTTGCAGTGGCGACGGTACTCTCCGCAAGAACCAGACGTTGTGGAAGGAATGGCACATTGGTCAAGGTCTTACGTTGCACCCGACTCAACTGGCGTTGGCACTTCGAGGTGCTGCGTTGCTTAGAGTAAACGGGATTATGGTCTACTCGACATGTTCGTTCAATCCTGTCGAGAACGAGGCTGTTGTGGCGGAACTTCTGCGTCGTGCTGGTGGATCATTGGAGCTACTGGATGTGTCGAACAAGATGCCGGGGCTGATTGCACGTCCTGGTCGATCAAAGTGGCGTGTGGGTTGGCGCTCCAAGTCCAAGTCGACCCACAAGGGTCATTTGTTTAAGGAGGACAAGCACGAAGACGACCAGAGTCTGCACCAATGGTTTGACAGCTATGAGGCGCTGACACAGGAGCTCCGTGGTAGTCGTGTTACTCGATCCATGTTCCCTACTGAGGGTGTCATTGCTGACGAGCTTCACAAGACACTTCGATTGATCCCAACGGACCAGAACTCGGGTGGGTTTTTCATCGCTGTATTGCGTAAAGTGGGTGATTTACCGGGTGAAAACGGTCTTCAGGAAGGACTTTCTCCACTGGATGAACTGGAAGCCACCCCCCCGGCTGACTACATTTGCAAGCTCTGTAATAAGGGAGGCCACTTTCTAAAGAACTGCGAGAAATATCTGCCGGGTACCGAGTTTTCAGATTCGAATAATTCGTCCAAGCCACAGACGAAGAAACGTCGTACAGAGGAGACGACGAAGAGCGAAGGGAAGAAGAAGGAGAAGACGCGCGAGACGCTCTACCGTCCTGTGAACGACGAGGTGTGGCAACAACTGCGTGGATTTTACGGTCTCGAGGATGAGACGCTTAAGGTGAGTTATACAGGATAAGAACGGTTAGCATATCGCGGTTAACTAACGCTTTTGCCACGTTGTAGGACCGCTTCTGGTGTCGCTCTGACACTGCAGCCACTGTGAACTACGTGGACAAGGAGATTTCGGACGCTTGCTTAGGTGGTGACGCTCTTGATGTACGTGCTTGAGACTTACTTTATCCTGTATCGTACAGTTTAACTTAACCTGTCAATGACTGGATAATCTACTTTGTAGATCGTCAACACGGGCCTTAAGGTCTTCACCAAGGTGACGGAGCGTGGCGACGTTTTCTATCGTCCGTCAGAGGAGAGTCTCGGCTTCTTTGACGAATTTTTTACCAAGCGACGACTAGACATTCCCATGACTGACTTCTCCAACCTCATCAAGAACGCGGAGCAGCATGTTGCATTCGACACGCTGTCGTCGGGTCTGCAGAAGACACTGGAAGGTTTGGCCATTGGTCCTGCGGTTGTCCGAGTCCAGACACACGCACAAGTCCGCATGAACATTTGGGTGGGCAAAGGTTCCATCCTGCCGCGTGTGTCCAAGGCCATGCGTGGAGAGGTCGAAGATGCGCTCCACCGGTGCTCGGACAACTAGATAATACCTCACAGTGTCTCTCTTGCCGCCCCTGCACGCATTCCGCGTACAAGAAAATAGAACGAGTCTCTTTTGCCGGCTACTTGGTCGTCTTCTTCGTTGACGTACTGATTTTGCTGACGTGTTGGCATTGTGGGTCTTGTGGGGAGTTGATGGACTTGTGCTGGCGTAGTCGCTGGAGTGGGGGCGTCTGAGTTGAGGATGTTGGTGAATACGTCCATGAAATCTCGCTTCGGAATGCCCATCAAGCTGCTGTCGTTGTTCTCGATCCACATGCCGAGCACAAGCATGAGCAGTACCACAATCGCCACGATCGCTGCAGTACTAGACAGCCGAGTTAACAGAGAAATACTGTAGTACTTAACTTCTTGATAGAGTGCAAACTTACTTGTATCCATGCGTAAGTTTGTAGCTCTTGACCACGACATGTCCGTGGTTACCGATGAGGATACCGGTGAAGCCCATGAGCCAACTCCCCAGTACTTGGGAAATAAACCGCGTCGCCAGAAGCAACTTGCAGAGCGCGATGTAGAGCACAATAGCCGCAAAGATCAACTGCACCACGGCTGAGTGCGTGTGTAGAATAGCTGGTAGCAAGACCACCACAGCCATGTGACAGTCGACACAGAGGAATCCTCCCGTGTCTTCATCGACACACCGACGGTCCTGTAGTTGCCACAGCGGGTGATTCAGATCAATAGGTCGAGGACTCTTAACCAGATACTGAAGAATCAGCACAGCCAACAGATTCCCGATACAGATCCAGAAATACGGGAAGCCGAACTCCGGGATCATCGTGATGAAGACGAACCTGCACGAAAATTGTTTAGAGTTGTCGCAATTCACGGACAATCAATAGCTGTCGACGTGCCATATTAGCAACGAAATGTCTTGTGTGCGACGCCGAGATGTAGTCGAGTGCACAAGCGTCCGCAGCCACGGACGTTCCTGGAGTCACCCATTTTGCGTCAACAAGCCCTAGCTGTCTCAAAAACAATCGAACGCACCTCTTTCTGCTGCACCAGCCACGTTATGGCCGTCATGTCCCATTGCAGCAGCGGATGCAGCTCGACGATCTCTCGGGCATCGTCCACGTTCTCTCGAAAATGCACGTGTCCTCGCATGGTCTGAGAAGATACGTTTTCTGATCCTTAAAGGTCGTACACATCACCCGTCATAACCGATCGAACTGAGCGCTAACGTGTTCGACAAGGTATACGGTCCACTTGTCGACACATTGCAGCAGTCGCACAAAGCGGACCGAAATCGCACGCGTCTTGCACTACACGTCGGAAAATGCACCAGCGATCAAGAGGCTGCATCAGCCTCTATGGCGACAGCATTGCCAACTACAATAACTTCCCCGTTTGATCGTCGCTAGCATATTTTGTTTTGTGTGATACAAATCACCAGCTGGACCCTTTGATGTATGGGGATCGGCCGGTTGGCGTCACCCACGCGGGTCGAGTGCCCCCATCTGCATCCGCCGCAGTCTCGGGGCGATAGTTGAGCTGACCTGGAAATCAAGGGTGGACTTGACTTCCTGGCGTCACGGGGCAAATCGAGACTCGCACGTGCCTTTGTCCACAGCGCTAAAGACCGGCCGCAAACCCATGCAACGGCTCAGTTGTGAATCAGCGACGTCCTGCGCACTCCAGAGAGTGTAAAGTAGAGGAACCATGACGACAATTGACGTTGATCGCAATGCACCCGAGACTCCAGTATGCGACGCTGACAGGTAGGTCGACTGCAAGGGTTTGAGGATGTAGGAAGCGAATTGGTAGCTGATATTGCGACTGTGTTGACACAGACTCGACGTTCCTGGCATCGTAGAGAGCTACATGCTCATAAGGTCCGTGAAACATGCAATGGACGAGCAACTTCTCAAAAATCTGCAAGTTACGTGTCTTATTAACGCTGAGAACCCTCGGAAGCGCTCGGAACACCCGGAGTTGACGGTAAACCCGACGATCGAAACGGGAAGCATCGAACTGGACGACGATTTCTCCTACGACGAGTTCAAGAGCAACATAACGCACGCTAACAAACTCATCCAGATCGCTCGCTCGGACAATAAGACGGTCTTTGTCTTCTGCACTCACGGTAATAACGAGAGTGCAGTGGTGTGTATCGCCTACCTCATGGTAGTCGAGCAGTGGAGTCTCGAGCACGCGTATCGCCATGTACTACAGAAAAGACCGGCCAGTGCTCCACGCAAAACTTACGTCGAAAAGGTGATCATAAGATGTTTTAAACATCTTTTTGTTAACATTCTGACTATTGTTTAACCCCTCTGTTACCGCAAAATGAGCCCGTGAACCACTAATTTTACGTCATAACTTACGGCGTAGCTTTTACCAGCGCGTTTGTATGGTGCTGTATCTTCCACTTGCCTATCCAAAACGATGGGAGGTATACGTTCTCAAAGGTTTTGACACGCTACGTCGTATATCATACGACGTAAGGATGACCCAAACGACACGGACACCGACACTTACGACTTTGTAAGAGTGAACATAAAAATTAAAACGGGAAGACGCAAGCGAATGCACACATAGAGCAGGGCTTTTCGATGACTGACATGCTAAAAGAGGAACAGACACAGAGCATATGGTAAAGGACGTCACATTTATGAAGCAATGAACACACTCATCGTCAGGGGGGATAACTATGGAGGGCCTCCAGCTGGGATTAGTTGTCCTCATCGTCTGGCGTTCCTTCGCATTCACGGTTCGGCCTCCTCGTCAGCACCCTCATTGTCTTCGCGGAGAATCTCACGACGAGTCTTCTTGCGGACGCCGACGGTTTTGGGAGCGCGGCGCAGCACGACTCGCTTGCCAAGGTGTGCTGGGATCCTGTCACCGCACGCGAAGTCCTCGTGCCACACTTGGAAGCAAGTCTTGTCGCCACCTCTGCGCGCCTTGCCACACAGGTAGAACTTGGCGTCGCCGTTGGAGCAGTCCGGGCAGTAGTAGGTCGTCTGGAACGACTTTTTGAGCTCGCCTCGATACAGCGAGCACACCTTGCACGACCGCTGACGCCTCTTCTGGATGCCGCCCCTCACAGTCACCCAGTCGTTGAACTGCACGAGCGTGTGCCCGGAGAATGCAGGGCGCCGTCGCTTGCGTGCTGCTGGCGACGGAGTGGGGGCTGCCATGAAGTCTTCGTCCTTGAGCTGTAGCAGCTGCTTGTGCAGCATGCTCAACCACTCGTATCGCTTCATGGGCGTCTCGCCGGCGAGCCGACTGGCCTCTTTATGCGTGAGGTACGCGTTGACGAGCGCCAGGTCCAGTAGTCCGAGGAAAAGACTCTTATAATACTTCCGGAACCTGAAGAAGAGCTGGATGGAGGAGGACTGGAGGCGGAGCTGGTCATGCACGTCGACTCCTCCCATCCAGCGCTGGTAATCCGTCACCAACTTCGGGCACTTGAACATCGAAGTCCCGAGCCCCTTCAGGTTCCGCTGGATCCTGTCCTCTGCCATGGACACACCTGTCGCGAGGTAGTGGACCGGCTTCCGGTCCCACCAGAGGCACGAAACCATGGTCGGCACTGCCGTCGATCTTGCGAACTTGAAGGATCCACGCTCGATGCGCCTTGGTCGCGTCTTATGCTCCGCTACGATGTCGCGGTTGAAGCCCAGGCGGTTCGTCATGATCGTACCGATCACGTAGATTGACATAGAGAGAAGCTGGATGGCGAGGGCTACGGACGAATAGAAGCGGTCGATGACCACAACCCGGAAGCCACGATGCCCAGCTAGAACAGTGCTCAGGTTGCGGATGACTGCCGCAGCGCCCGTCTTACGGTCATATGCCTGCGCAGCAGACTCGCTGGCTTGGCGTTTTCCGACATAGATCTCAAACCTGAAAGATACGACATTGAGAGCACGGTCAAAATCATCAAGTCATAACTTACGACCTAGCAAATCATACAAAAAAACATTCGTCGCTTACCGGTGGCAGTACGCAGTCAACGAGTCGCATGTCATAAACATCTTGGTCCCGTAGCGGTGAGGCTTGTCTGGCATGAACATCCTGGTCGTGTTGCGTCTGGATGTCGCCGGCAAGACACCTTCGTCAAACGAGATGATATTCGGCGGCTTCCACGCGCTCAGGAACCGTTCCTGCAGTACATCAACAACGTCACGGATCTTCCACAGCTTGTCTTGACGGTTCGGGCTGTCATTGTTCGCGAAGTGTAGATCGCGCAGGATCGACGTGCAGCGGTTCCGGCTCATGTACTTGCCGAACGCACCTGCACTTAAAGCACCATCGTCGGTCATTGCCCAGTGCTGCGAAAAGCGTCGGGTGGGGCTCAACATATGAGCCACGAGAAGCCCAATAACGCACAAGATCTCGCGCGGTGAGTAGTCGCTCTCCCGACGAATACGGCGTCGAAGTTCACGAAGTGTACGCATGTTCTCCGTTCTAGACGTCCGCGATCGTTCATAACGCGCTCGATGGTCCACCGTCTGCCTTTTCATCCGGTTCGTCTCTTTGGTGATCCGCATCCACAGGCGCTTCGGTAGGAAATAAAACATCAATTCAAGAGGTGATTCTTTCTTCGAGCAAAGTTCTGGTGTTGGATGGGCGGTCTCCTGCACCAATCCGCGAAAGCAGGACACATCGTCCGCAAAAACTGTCGAAGGCGCGCTTTAGGCAAAGTTTCGCAGCGCTTCCTGGTCCATCTGCTCGATGGACAAGGTGCCACCCAGGGCCTCAATGAAAGCGGCATCCATGTAGGGCGACTCCTCGTCGTCCGATACCTCGTCCTCGTCTGGATCAGGACGGACAGGCTCCACGTCGTCGTCGTCAGAAAACTGGCCGTAGTCGGAGCCTGAACTCAGACTCTCGTACTCCTCTCTAAGATCTCCAGCCTTCATCAAGTTTACATCAGCTGGATCGCGTGGTACAACTGGTCCTCCAGCGTCGTCACCCTCGCTGGCGTCTCTCGGCTCCTCCACCGTGTCGTCCTCAGAGTCTAGGTCGGGCTCCGTCTCCGAGAGCAGCCGCTGGAAAGCTCCGATCACGACACTCTGGTCTGAGTCATGCACCGCGTCAGCACGTAGCGGGGATAGCCCAAAAGCTCTCCCAACCGCGTTCTGCGACAACGCAGGTGTGCCATCGTCCTCGCTGTCACTTTCGAACAGCGCGTCGACTGTGTTGGCCGAGAGAGCCACATTGCAATCAATCTGCGACGCTCGCACCATATCTCCATCACCGCTGTCGCCCCCACCGCTCCCAGCTTCACCGCCGCCACCGCTCTCAGCTTCACCGCCCCCACCGCTCTTGCCCTCACCGTTATCTCCACTCTCCTCGCCACTGCTGTTGTCCTCTTCATCCTGAATCAGTCCGGTTGTGATCGCGTGCTCCACCACCGCTCTCTCACCTACCACAAACCAAGTTAGAAATGACGCATAGTAATACTGCAATAGCACAACATACCGTAGAGCACAATCTCGCCTTCTGCAGGAACCTCGCTGGACGGCCTGACGTACGCCCAATCGTTTGACAGTCCGGTGGGAGGCTTCGACCGCCACCCCGCGGCCTTGAGCTGGCGCCACAGGTGGCCGAAGTCTACCAGGCGCGGATCCAGGGCGGGCGCTGACACCGACGCTTGAGCCTCAGCTTTGGTCCTTGCGCTCACAGAGACCGGCATTTTGATTACGTCTCAGCCGGCAAAATCTGGAATGGCTGAGAGTGCCCGAAGACTTCTGGCCACTCATCAAATGATGACAGTTGGAAAGGTCCACTTGAACCCTTTTCCTCGTACTGTCTTTGTGTGTGCAGCAAAAACCTCTCCAGCCTTATATCCGATCGGCCCCAAATTTGATTTGATTTCAGTATCAGGTCGCCGTTTCCGAGCCAACTCCAATATGAAGAAAACACTATGTCGTAAGTTACGACGTACAATTTGGACTATGTCATAACTTATGACGTTGGTAACAGGGAAGTTAATACGTTACAGCTACGCACGCTGGAGCTAGAGACTCACGGCCGCGTGACGCTCCGTTCCGACCAGATCGGCCCCAGTATGATCGACATTATGCTTGGTCTGCGTGGCCAAAGTCCTGGTGACGATACCGACGAGCGAAGCAGTCAAGCGACTGATGGCGGCATGTCGACGATTGAGCGTGCGAGCAATATGTCGAGCTTTTCCATCGCCACGGGACGGACGAACGGATGGTCTGTGCGTGAGACGATGATCATAGCTGAGCAGGAGGACGATCCAGTGGGGAAACACAAGACTATTTCACCGAGTTTTGGACGGAGGAAGTCCAGGACACACCGAGTCAGCTGCGTTATTAGCTGAGTTTGGGTTTATGTTATTAGGTAAAAGTGTCTTTGGACGAATATAAAACTTCAACGTAACACTCGTATAGATAGACTGCTTAGCAAATATTCGCTGCAGAGCGCACACATGATATTAATACCCTACAGGTGCGGGTGGCGACGAGTTAAGATCCATGCGAGGGTAGCATCTAACTAGGCAAATACACGTTCAATATCGCAGTTGACTCGCACCTGTTGCAGTTTTGAGGCATTTACGGCGCCGCAACTTGCTTCTACTAGTCGGCGTACCACCGTCTGACTCGTCGCTTGAAGACACGAGAAAACAAACCGAATGCACAGCTTTCTGCTTTACGTGCCAATGCTTGTAACGACTGTTGTATATTACGAATAGAGCATGGTGGAACGGTAATTTTTAGGCATGAAAAAGGGTAAATTTTAATGGGACTTTGACAAGAGTAGTATCTAAATACATGACAGAGTACATTTATTCGCCAGTATCACTAATTTATACAGTCGTGCACCTCCAATTCGGCACCGATACCCTGCCAGATTTTATGATTACGCGAATCGGATGCGCAATTACCTTTGCCCATCACCACCCTAGCAATTAACCTCAACTCCTGCCGCATCGATCTGTTTTTAAATTTTGGATCGGACGTCTTCATACACACACTTTGATTTTTACCGCCAAAGACAATGGGACATCGCCCTTCCTCCTACAATCCCACAAAAGCTGTCTTTGTGCGAGAAGCACAAGTCAGCTCCTGCATGCTCTCACTCCGAACTTGCTCGTTGGGCAACGGAGCGCTTTGAGACCCCCCCCCCCAAGCAGTAAAGCGCACTACCGTCCAGTGTATTCTTAAGCGGTCGGCGGAAGTTGCTGTCTTGCCGGACGCCTATCGCGACCGGAAGCGCTGTATCGCGCCCGCGATTCGCGCGTCTTCGTTGAAGCGGGCGCAATGTGGCGCTGCAAGGGACAGATCAACGAGCATACAGATGTCCCAGCGCCTTTGTAGTCCCGCACGGGGATAATAAGTGGCCGAATGCGTCTTGGGACCTGCCACTGCTTCTGAGACCGAGCTGTCATAGATATCATATTTTTTTCACAATACATGTAATGATAACAAGAAGTAGGCTCATTTTAATTGTGCGTTCTACCTAAATATTCGTGCCCAGCTCAAATAAAAAAGTTATTCTTTTGACTTGGCTAATGAGAAGAAACCACTTAAGTATGACCAACGGTCACCATTGCGGCAATGAGCAAATTTGGTCGGAATTTACATGTGCAATTCGGCAACTTCAACAGAGAAAAAAAATGAATCCGTCACTTTGCTGTTGCAGCTTAAGCTTACGAAGAATAGGAGACCACTACCTCACTCGACGTCTCCCCCACATAGAATTTAAAGTACTCACTCGTCAACAAGCTCCTCTTGAAGCAGTCTACCCTTACAGGGTGAAGTTTCCCTTGCACACACTCAGCAGCATGTTGGGGGAGAAGGCGTCCAGTCCTTCGTCGTGAAGAGCGTCCTCTGCTTCCACGAACAACATGCCCAAGCCAAGCACAAAGTGCCAGTCAATGTGGCAGTGCATGAGCCACACGCCCGGGTTGTCGGCATTCAAGCGGAAGACGACGTAGCCGAGGTCAGCAGTGCATGCGCCGTCAGCGTCGGCGATGCACTCGGGCACCGTGAAGACGTCGTGCTGCATGGGTCCGTTGAGTCGCAAGGCCGGCAAATTACCTGCCAAAATGTTGTCGCGCGAGGCGTGGCCGCTTCCAACAATCCACGGAGAGTGGGCGTGCAGGTGGAACGGGTGCTGGTCGGGCGTCTCGTTGACTACAACCACTTCAACATGGTCGTTGTGCTTGAGTTTGATAGCGTTAGCGGTGGTCGGTAGATCTTCGGTCTTAGCACCTTGGGCGATAGTGAAGAGCGGCGGACTGTCAGGGATCACCAGTGAGCTGAAGTCACCACCATCGAGAGCCATGTAGCCGAGGAACGCCGTCGGATTCGGAGCAAGAACCCCAAGGGTGAACTCAGCGACGATACGTTGATCAGGTGTCTTGGGGAGCACTACCGGGACCGCCGGGTTAAAGTTGAATTCACCGATCGTCACCTCCGTCGCCCACGCGGACGTCGTCGGGTCTTTTGTTGCTCCGGTCTCGTAGTCAATGATAGCAAGCGCGTCCGGGTTGAATCCGTCCGGGACTTGGTCGGCTTCGCGAGCTGTCCAGGGGATGCCAAAGGGTGAGTGCACACGTAGCCAGAACGAGCCGAGCGCCGTATTCTTGCCGCCGCTCTGTCCTTGTTTACCGCCGCTCTGGCCTTGCTTCTGGCTCTGACTTTGACCCTGACCTTGCGAAGGCGATGACTTGGCCTGTACTAGAATGTCATAGCGTTGAGCCACGTTGATCGTCACCGAGTTGACGGGCGTCGACGGCTTGAGGTAGTCAGTGTCGCTCGCTACGACCTGGAACGTGTGACCGTCAATACTGACTTTGAACGCGGCCATCGCCGACGTGTTGATCAGACGGAGCAGATATTTCTTGCCCGGTACGAACTGGAACCGGGGCAACGGACGACCGGGACCGCACTCGAAACCCGCAGCCTCCGCAACGGTGCAATTGTAGCGTCCGATGTTGTTGATCAGCACAGTGTCCCAGATAGGAGCACCGACCGGCAGGTCGTGGTACCAGTCGGCCAGTAGGATCGTGTACTCCTTGTAGACGTCCTTCTCCCAGCTCTGCTGTAGTTTAGGAGGACAGTGCACGATGAGTGGTCCACGGAGTCCGTAGGCGTACTGCACCTCCTCGTGGCCATGGAACCAGAAGGTGCCGCACTTATCGGGCTTGAACCGGTAGATAGCCGTCACGTTCGGCTGGATCTGGCACTGCGTGATGCCGGAGACGCCGTCCATCTCTTGCGTACCGAGCTGTTTCAGCCCGTGCCAGTGGATGCACGTCTGCTCCGTGAGCTTGTTGGTCACGTGCACCTCGACCTCATCGCCGAACGAGACTTCGATCGGGTGCTCGTCGCACGGCTCGTTGTTAATACCGTAGCCCAGATTGCCCCGGACGCCGTCGAAGATGGTGGTGTTGAGCGTCGTGATGTTCCAGTCATAGCGGACGACACGGGCCGAAGCTTGAGCAGCGCCGAGCAGCAAAAGACCCAGAGTGGAGAGAAGACCCATCGAAGTCGGCGTCGAAGGTTGGACACGGCAGATGGAGTACCGAGAGTGGCGTGTGAGCAGGAGGAAGCGAATTCCGAAATGAGCGGACAGTGCCAATGCCGAGTCGGTCGAGCAGCAAGGTTGCGTCTATCTAGCGCAAAGGATGGTCGTCGATGTTTTGGATGCGGTAGCTTCATGAGAGAGACACACAATCGTCTCTTGTATGTTGATGTGAGATCATTTTTGCTGTCCGTAAGATACTTGATCCTTGAAGTTGTCAGCACTGAAGAGCCGTCTAATCGACTAGATGACGGTAAGAAAAAATCGAACCAGTCAACGCACATCTGGCGTCGCCGTATCATACCTGGCATCGCTGGAGCATTGGCGACTAAGGGAGAATCCATCCACCAAAGACGCTGCTGTCCGTCCTAGCTGAGGGGCTATAAGCCGTTCAGTCTAACACAATATCATGCTGTCCGTGTTATTGTCCAGGCACATTTTCGAAGCGTACATAAAGCGTTGCCTTCAACAAAGTCGCGTCATCTCGACCAGCAGATACTGATTACTCCACTCGTAGGTTTACCACGAACGAATCTGCACTGTGACGTTTCAGACGTCGTTTCAGTGCCGTGAGGATCTGCCGCAACGCTGGTGACCGACCGATTGAGGATACCGCCACTAAGCTTCAACTATCGGGTGGCTACACTGACTTAAAGATACGCGTTGGTTGCCTTAACAAGAGCCAGGGACGTCAGTCTGGAGGCAAGCACGGCAACCTCCGCCGCTCCTTTTCTATGTCGAATACTGCTCCGCCATTCATATCTTCTACCACTTCAACTGGAGTCTCCAGCGTCAGAGCTCTCACTCTCTAATTCACCTGCTCAACGCCTACGACGCCAGCCACGGGACTTCTGACGCTCTTGACGCTCTACAGCCTCGTCAATCATCGCACTGTCGACGCGGAGGAGGCTGTAGTGTACTATGACTTCCGTGTCACGTACATCGCTTCAGCCTTCGACGGCGTCGCGCTTACCTCGTTCAGCAGCAACGAGCGACCGGCTAATGAAGCATTGATCGAGGTCACGCTGGGTCAGCAGGTCCAAGTGACAGTCACAAACTAACTGGACGAACCCACGTGTCTACACTGGCATGGACTCAAGCAACTCAGCACTCAAGAGATGGACGGACTCGCTGGCATCACGCAGTGCTACATCCCTCCTAACGCCACCGCCGTGTACCATTTCGAACCGGATAAGGCCGGTAGTTTTTGGTGGCACAGCCAGCACAATACCCAGTACCCGTACGGTCTTCGTGGGCCGCTTGTGGTCCACCCTCGTGACGACCAGCTCCAACCGTAGGAGAAGGACATTGACGCCGAGTACAACGTGGCGGACATATATCACGGAGATCCGGGTGTACCGCCTATGTGGGACTTCATCTTGATCAACAACCGCGGACGCTACAACTGCACGGCTGCAGCCACGTACAGCTTCACGAAGTGCTCCGAAGACCAGCGACTCACTCGTTTTCGCTTCAAGACGGGGAAAAAGCATCTGCTCCGTGTCATGTCCATGAGCGCCCTGGCTCCGTTTGAGTTCAGCATCGACGGGCATCTATTGCGCGTCATCGCAGTGGACGGAGAATCTCTGGAGCCGTCGGAGCTCATCACCAATATCACTATCAACATCGGACAGCGGTACGATCTCCTTGTGGAGGCCAAGAACGCCACAGACACGCCGATCGGCTCCTTCTGGATAAGAGCCACGGGACTCAATGGTCTGCCCTGGACGGCAGCAACTGGTGCTAATGCCAGCGATGGCTCCATCAGCGACAGTGAGTAGAGGCGCGAAGTCCGGTATGAAGAACTGGTTGAAGCTGCTCCCGTCGACTGCGACCTGACCGCAGGGAAGAGGAACTCGATGACCAACTCGCCGACCGTCGACGTCTCGTTCCAGCGCTGCGTAGTGGGCTCCGATACGTCGTCCTCCTCGCAGTATACTATTGCCAGACCGTTGGCGTTGGTATGACCACGGCAGAGCTGCCCGTCACGAGCATCCCACGCGAGATTTTCTACGGCGACCACGTCGAGATCGTTCTGGTTAATGAACAGAACGAGCAGCACCCGTTCCATTTGCACGGCCACTCACCCTGGGTGGTAGGCAGCCGCCACGCCACGTTAGCTGACGTGCAGAGTAATACTTTACGTCCATTGAAGCTTTCCGGCGCCATGTTCCGCGACGTGTACACTGTCCCGGTCTGTCCGGTTGGCGACACCGACGCGTGCACGGGAGTTGGCTACGTCGTACTACGACTGGAGGCGGACAACCCGGGCGTGTGGACGATGCACTGCCACATCGACTATGATATTCATGGAAGGAGAGAAGCAGCTGCAACAAGCAGGCGTCGACGCCTTCTCCAGCAGTACCTTGAGCGTCTGTGGCAGCTACTACACCGGGCTGCGTTCAACACGGCCACAACCGTCACCGTACCGTAGTTTTTGAGGTCCATTCAGGCAAAATTGAGAGAGTTTGAGGTCCGTTTGAGACACCTTCTAGCCCTGCTGCGTCTCCCGCCCTTGGTACAGCTCCGTGTGTGCGTCAGCAAGCGATTGCCGCTCGTGTGGGCGTCATGAGGATTGCGCGTCGCGGATCTGTTCCACCCCCGCGATTGGCCAAAAACTGTCTTACCGCCTTGATAAAGGACACAGCACTTGATGCTGAAGACCAAGCAGTCCGTGACCGCTGCACGTCGCTGGATATATCGCTTTAACGCGCCGATGTCGTGGTCATTCGCCATTTGACCCGCCCCTTTTGGATACCTCTCCCGATGGTTCCCGTTCCTCCCGGTGCAAAAGTGTGGCTTGTCACGGGCTGTGCCTCTGGCTTGGGGCGTGAGGTGGTGGTGGCCGCATTGGCGCATGGAGACTGCGTGATCGCCACGGCTCGCAACCCCGAGCGACTGGCTGATCTCGAGAAGAAAGGCGCCTGGACGTTGGCGCTGGATGTGACCGCCAGTCAAGACGAGCTGAGCGCCGTGGTGACCCACGCGCTGGACGTGTATGGAACTATTGACGTCCTCGTGAATAACGCGGCGTATCTGCTGGAAGGCGCCATCGAAGAGTGCAGGTGAGCTCTTCGTGTGATACATGTACCTACTTTTTAAAGGGGCAATTTTCAGTGACCGATTCTGACTTGATCTGACTCCTGATATCTTGATTTTTGTATTGCAGTGAGCAAGAGAGTACAACACTAACGTATTCGGCATGCTGCGCGTCCTGCGTGCTGTACTGCCGCATATGCGCGAGAAACGATCGGGTGTTGTAGCAAACGTAGGCTCGGCCGGTGGCTGGAAGGGGATCCCAGGTATCGGTCTCTACGGCTCGACCAAGTTCGCCATCGCTGGTATCACGTTGGCTCTGCGTGAAGAAGTGGCTCCACTAGGCATTGAAGTGACAGTGGTGGAGCCTGGCGCACGTCCATTTTGGGCAAGGGGTTCATTCCTGCAAGGACTACCATTGAGGATTTTGCGCCACTCACGCAGCCGCTGACAACGCACGTTGCCAGTTTCAGTGGCAAGCAACCGGGAGACCCGGCCAAGGCTGCACAGCTCATGGTCGAAGCACTAACCAAGACTGGACGTTGTAAGGGCAAGACACTGCCTATAATAGTAGACTGCTTCTTGGCAAGGATGCCGTGAAGCTTGGACAGTGCGTACTAAAGCAAAACAAGCGCGAGCTGGATGAGTGGGCAGAACTGGCGGGTTCGACAGACTTTGCGGACGCCAGCAAGCCGTAGATTCGTCCACAGTAGAGTTAATAAACAGTCGAGTTGTGAAGCAATGTCGACGTCGTTGAAGCTGTGTGATGTGTCCTTCAAAGCTAATGTACAGTATGACACGGCAATGCTTCAGAGTTCACGGGACCCATCCAAATGCAGACCAGAAACCAGCACCAAATTCGGGTCACGGGACCTGACTGAGTAAGTGACTCAGGTTCATTTCGTATTTTCTCGGTGAGCACGAATTCCTCGCTTTCTCAACATGACTGAGCGCAAGGTGTGGCTCGTGACTGCCTGTTCTTCCGGTTTCGGCAAGGAGATCGTCCTCGCGGCACTCGCGCGCGGAGACCACGTCATCGCAACGGCTAGAGATGCCAGCAAGCTTCAAGACCTCGTGGACCTAGGAGCCCGTGCGCTTGCACTGGATGTGACGGCGAGTGATGCTGAGCTCAAGAAGGTGATCGACAAGGCTCTGAGCTTCTACGGCACCATCGACATCCTCGTCAACAACGCGGCGTTCCTGCTTGGTGGCGCGATCGAGGAGTGCTCGGACGAAGAAGCGTACAAACAGTACAACACGAACGTCTTTGGAGTTCTGCGTATGCTGCGTGCCGTGCTGCCTCACATGCGCGCCAAGCGATCGGGAGTGGTAGCCAACATCGGCTCAGCCAGTGGCTGGGTCGGTATCAAGACGATGGGTGTGTACGGCTCCACTAAGTTCGCTCTGGCCGGACTCACGTTGGCTCTGCGTGCTGAGCTGGAGCCGTTCGGTATCGACGTGACGGTCATTGAACCGGGTTCGTTCCGTACCGCTATCCTAGGCAAAGGTTTCTCGGCGATGAAGAAGTCCATCCCCGACTACCTCCCGATCACGCAGCCTCTGCACGACCGTATCAACCGCGTGAACTCGGAGCTCCAAGAGGAGAAGCAGCCTGGTGACGCGGCTAAAGGAGCTCAAGTCATCGTGGAAGTGCTTACGAAAACTGGTCGTCGTGTCGGGAAGACGATCCCAAGTCGCATGTTGCTGGGTAAGGACGCGGTAGCGATCGGAGACAACGTGCTCAAGGAGAACCGTCGCGAGTTCGACGATTGGGCCGAATTGGCAGCGTCTACGGACCACGACGATCTCCAGGCCAGACTGTAAGAAGTTGAATTGCTTAGAAAATAATTAAACAGTCAAAGCATTAAAAATTCAAATAAATAAAACGAAAGATTTTTTCGTGGGTCAAGAAGTGTATTGTTTGCTGTTTTTACCGATACTTTCCGACGCCTTCATTGACTGCGTATTGATTACTGCTTTTCGCTGAGTTTTACAGCGTTTTAGTCGTGTTGCTCTCCCCTGCAACAGCAATAGAACAGTTTGGTAGGACGCCCTTACTGGTCAGATCTTTAATGATCGACTGAGCGGGAATACCTCCATTCAAACACCCGCCACAATGATGCAACGCGAGCACGTTGTTGTCACTCGTTGCAATGATCGGCGACCCAGACGATCCTTCTTGAGTGTCGACGTAGTAGCCCACATCGTCATCGCGGCACTCTGTGACTGTAAGCGACTCGACACGACCAGGTTGGCCATTGTAGAGCCACGCAATACGCTTGCCGTAGCCCAACGGGTGCTGCGGGATGTAGATGTCCTCATTTAAGACTGCCCCGGAGCCACGGAACCGCAGATACCCCGTCTTCTCGTACAGCTTGGAGAAGTTCGTTAAGGTCATGTTGACTCCAAGACGGACAAGTGCGTAGTCCAAATCCTCCGACACTGCTACAAGCGTAGTACCGGTCACTCCAGCAGATCCAGGACAACCTCCACGCGTATCACACGTTTCACTGCCGCCACAGCTCTCGGACTCCGCAAAAAACTCCACTTTAGTGTTTAGCGCGTCTTGGTCGGTACTGATACAGTGTTGGTTAGTGATCATGTGACCCTCACAACCGATCAGCCAGCCCGTACAATAGGCGATCTCCATTCCGTTCTCCTTTATAATTGACAAGCGTGCTACCGGCTGAGACTTAAGCAACATAACAGCTCCTTCCTCGCTGTTTGTCGAGCTAGGAGCACAAGCAGCTTCGACCGACTCGTCCGTGCCACACACACTCTCCTTGTTGAAGTCGTCTTTTGAGTCTGTCGCGTTAGCCGTGCTTATCAAAGGCACTTTAACTGCACCTTGTAGATGCTTAACTTCCGCCACTAGCTCCTTCGGAGAGAATAACACTTCATCGACTGTGAAGCCTCTGCAAGAAGTCGAATTGGCTTTCTCTGGAGCTGAGGCTTTGATCAGCTCCAGCGTGACGCCGGACCCAGCGATCCCCGTGGAGTAGAATTTGCCCGTTGCGTTTTTCCCCGACAATGCTGCCACAGGGGGTGAAGTGGCATCGGAGCCTCTGATAATCAGCATATCGGCTTCTGGGAGGTTAAATTGTTTGAAGTGCAGCACGTAGATGCCCTTGCCAAGTCCAGGATTTAGCTGTAGACGGTAGGAAGGTTCAGTTGTAGTTGCTTTCGGTAGTGCTGAATAGTTGGAGAATTTGCACCCCGCACCGACAAGGATGCCCACCACTTGGCCCGTGGACTGCGCAATGGCTCCAACTAGTGCAATTGCAGTGAGTAGAATGACGATGGACCACTGCATCTTGGAGAATATCGCTAGGCAAATTCCAGAGTGTCGTTATGATCTGTTGTAAATCAAATGCCAATGATTGAAAGAGAATGTAAACATGGCGAATAAGTTAAGGAAACTTATGCTTCTGCATCAGTTGTCTAATCTTTCAAGGTCAATCTTGCCGTATCCCATCTGAGCTGCTCAACATTAAGAAGGACTCGCTTTCTCAGCATGACTGCCAGATCGATAGCCCGAATATGCGATCTCATGATTCCGTTCGGATTGAAGATCTTCGTCATGGCGCTCGCGTGTACCGCACGAATGATTTCGGGGTAGTCACATCGCGAATCAAGAGATCGAAAGTGGCGGTCAACATTGGCTCGGCGAGTAGCTGGGTTAGTATCACCGTATTTGGTTCCACGAAGTTTTTGGGACTACTGTATGTAAAATCGATTTAGCTTGGACAATTAAAGTGCGTTATCGTCAAACAGGCTTCACAGCTGCTCAGAAACATTTGTGGTCTCTTGTTCTGGGTAAACATCAAATGACTTCTCCCACTGCACCAAATTGGCTGTGCGACGCACTCTGATTGGTCAAAACATTGTAGTCATAGACCAAACTCAGTGTAGCCATGGGAAAGCCCCATAAGTCATCGACCCAAATAATCCATAAATGTATTCACCGTTTTCACGAATGCCTGTTTCGTACTTTGCGAAAGACTTCACGTTTCCGCGCGACTGCACTTTTGCGGGCGACCACACAGTTGAGGACGACTGCACAATTGAGGAAGATACTTTGTCAGGCACGGGCCACGCATAGAAATAGCAAGTTTCATTTCATATTTTCCCTTCGCGGAGCGCAAGCGACTGCAATGGACCTGCCCGAAACTAGTCGCCTGTACGGTGCGGCCATCGCTGCAGCCAAATTTGCCGATCAACGACTCGAGTCTCGCACGCGGGTCGACTATACCGGCAGCTTTCGTCGATTCACCGCTTTTTGCATAACTGAAGGATACCCAGACCCAATGAAACAGCGATTTGTTCAGCTCCCAGGTGTACTAGCAGCGTACATTAATCAGCTCGCGACGGCGAACAAGAGTCAGTGGCCTGCTGAGAAGCTACGGGCCGCGATTAGCTGGCATTACGCGAAGCCGGAAATGCTTTCAGGTGGACACCCGCACGATCGCTGGGTTATTGAAACTCAAGCAGATGGCTCGATTGTACCACGCGGAAACCCCACCCGATCCGCAGCAATTACGCAATCCTCGCAGGCAGTAGTAAAGCAAAAAAGCGTGAAAGAACTCCTAAGCGCGCGTCACCTATGTCGCTCGCAATGCTAACGCGAGTAATCACTTTCCTTGAAACTTATTCGGACTTCAATGAGACGATGCGCTTGTGGTTTTCTGCCGTGTGCTCGCTTGCCTTTTACGGGATGTGTCGAATAAATGAGGTGCTGCTCATGAAGAAAGGAGATATACAGCTCGGACCTCGGCGCAAGTCGCGCAAGAACGACAAGGAGATCAAATTTGGATGTTTCACAATACGCGACCGAAAAACGGACCATGATCCACTGGCAAGTCGCACATACTCTTTGCATCACCTCCCTAAGGATGAGCAAGTCACCGAGGCTTTGGCGTACCTGGAGAGATGGTTTAAATATGCATGTACGCGGTTAGACCACATGAGGGACAGTGGTGACTACGCGTTCCCAGCACTGACAAAGGTTCCCCGCGGCGGTGCTAAACGTCCGAAGAACTCTCTCGCTAGCGCTAGTCCTAATGGGACATTTGGGAATGTTGGCGTTAAATGGGGCACTCCAATGTCGGACAGTAACTTCACTCAGATTATCAACATTGTCGCCAATGCAGCTGGAATCAGCAAGAATCTCCTTGGGGATGACATCTGGTTTACATCACATTGCTTTAGGCGAGGCGGAGCTCAGTACAGATTTATGTTCGCTCCTGAACAAAGCCGTCGGTCTTTGAAGCTGGTGAAGTGGTGGGCAGGATGGGCGCCAAGTGAAAAGGCTGAGACCGTAACACGATATCTACTAGACGACGTTCTAGATCGCGAGGAAAACCAACTTGGGGATTTGTTGGCCCCTGATGCGACTATACCTACCAATGGGTCCCTGGCAAGCCTTCACGACTTCGACTACAGCTGCGCTCAACCTAGCAACAGTTTTATTTTGGATGAGGCTGGTGATGTGCCAAAGGAGTCTGCTCCCTCCCTTTTGGACTCAATCGTAGGAGACATCAAAACTGCAATTATAGCGGAACTTCGCGATATGCTGAAATCTATTAGCTCGAGTCAGAGCTCGGCTCAACGAACGGAAAATGACGAAGGCGGCGGCATCGTGGAACCTGAATCGGCTCATATTGCAAATGACTCTGCGAACTTGGTGTCGGAGCTACCAGACGCTAAAGGGTGGCGAGACTATGCTAACCAGTACTGGCATGCTAATGCGGCATGCCACCAGCTCAGAGCTGGCGTTGACATGCTTCCACATGAACGCAAGTTACGTCGATCACGTCTTTCTCGAATGAAGATCATTGCTGAATATGTCCAAGAAAAGCACGCCGGCGACCAGGACCAATTCGAGGCGGACTTTGCACTTTGCATTCATGGTGACCTAGCCGTTAACAAAATTCTTGCCGAGATTAGAAAACGTAAGCGAGCGTAAACATCGTCCTCAAAAGTGCAGTCGTCCTCAATAGTGCAGTCGTCCTCAGCTGTGCAGTCGTCCTTTACTGTGATGTCGTCCTCAAAGGTGCAGTCGCTCAGTTGTGTGCAGTCGTCCTTAATAGTGCAGTCGTCCCAAACTGTACAGTCGTCCTCAAAAGTGCAGTCGTCCTTAACTGTGCAGACGTCCTCAACTGTGCAGTCGCTCAGTTATGTGCAGTCGTCCTCAATAGTGCAGTCGTCCTCAACTGCAGCCGTCCTTAACTGTGCAGTCGTCCTCAACTGTGCAGTCGTCCTTAACTGTGCTGTCGTCCTCAAAAGTGCAGTCGCTCAGTTGTGTGCAGTCGTCCTCAATAGTGCATTCGTCCTTAACTGTGCAGTCGTCCTCAAAAGTGCAGTCGTCCTCAACTGTGCAGTCGTCCTTAACTGTGCTGTCGTCCTTAACTGTGCGGTCGCTCAGTTGTGTGCAGTCGTCCTCAATAGTGCATTCGTCCTTAACTGTGCAGTCGTCCTCAAAAGTGCAGTCGTCCTTAACTGTGCAGTCGTCCTCAAAAGTGCAGTCGCTCAGTTATGTGCAGTCGTCCTCAATAGTGCAGTCGTCCTTAACTATGCGGTCGTCCTCAAAAGTGCAGTCGTCCTCAACTGTGCAGTTGTCCTTAACTGTGCAGTCGTCCTCAAAAGTGCAGTCGCTCAGTTATGTGCAGTCGGCCTCAATAGTGCAGTCGCTCAGTTATGTGCAGTCGTCCTCAATAGTGCAGTCGTCCTTAACTGTGCGGTCGTCCTCAAAAGTGCAGTCGTCCTCAACTGTGCAGTCGTCCTCAAAAGTGCAGTCGTCCTCAAAAGTGCAGTCGTTCTCAACTGTGCAGTCGTCCTCAACTGTGCAGTCGTCCTCAAAAGTGCAGTCGCTCAGTTATGTGCAATTGTCCTCAATAGTGCAGTCGTCCTCAATAGTGTAGTCGTCCTCAATAGTGCGATTTTAAATACACTACAATAAAGTAATAATGATAAATGCTTCAAGGCTAACCAACACGCATAAAACTCAAAATTAATTAAAACATATGCTTTATGTAGCCTCGAAGCTCGTACACCAATGGATGGGCCTGATGAGGGTGGTCGAGTCAGCGGGTTACGATAACTACTTAGTGGAGCGAGAAGACGACGGGGGGACACGGGAGCAATTTATAGCGCACGTGTCATTTTTGGCTACTTACCACTACCCAACGGCATTACTAGAGGCTACAGCAAAGGACATCGAGGCGCAGCTTGAACATGAAGGTGCGGGTGAATTTGGGAAAGCTTTCGCGACGGCAGGCGCGGCTACTGGAGCAACGGCGGCTCCAGTATACACAACATTTGCGACAGGAAGCCGAAAACGAGAAGCACGAATAATGGCGAGTCAGGAACCACGAGTCGACTCGAGCATCAAGATGGTGGAGATACGACGACAAAAGCGGCGCAACGAGGCAGGACAATATGTCCTTGAGCTCGAGCTACGGCCCGTTTGTGGATCTGGATCCGGTCGGGCAGGAACCGATGGAGGCAAAGACGTTGGCCAGCGCTGGGTCTCGATCAGAAAATACGATGCATTGTTCGAAGCCGACAGAGTCGTGGAAGAATCTGTATCTGGAGAAGGCGTGTAACCGGGCAGTGGCCCGGAGTGCGCGATGGGCCTGTGGTGGTGACGCAGTGCGGATCCAGCAAGCCTGTGGAACCTTTGTGGGGCGGGATCAAGTTGAAGAAGGGCGAGGCGAAGTCGGCGAACCTGGATGGAGTGCGAAGAGTCGCGATAACCAGAGGGTTATAGCCGATGGATCGCTCACGGACGGCTCGAAGGCCGATGAGTACGGCCAGAGTGCCGAAGTGTAGGACGAAGTGAGGTGGGTGAGCAGCTGCGGACTGGCGTGCGGCCAAATGAAGATTGGCGGCGCCAGGATCGTGCGAGCTGTGTGGCGTGCGGCCAAAACGAAGACCGGCGGCGCCAAGAGGGGGAGAGCTCAGTTCAGAATTGGCGGTGTTGAGCACAACCAGTTTGAAGATCGCGGGTGCACGGGAGACACCAGCGACGCGACAGAGCCGTACGACAAAGTGCGACACTAAGTGCGAGACGTCGGCCAAGACTGGCACGAGTAGACGGACGAGTAAGCGAGTAGTGTGGTTGAAGGGCAGTGGCAGCACTGTCGAGTGCTACTGAGGCGAACGAGTAATCCAGGGCGCTGGGTTCTAGGCGGTGCGGCGCACTAAGAAGCATCTTCGTGAGCAACAGGGGCTCGCGAGGTTGTGCAGTGTGCCGTGCGGGCTCCAGGGACGGCGAAGGACGGTTGCACGGACGGCCGAGGTGGTTGAGAGTCTCCAAGGAGAGGAAACGTCTGTTGTGTTCAGCAGCAGAGCAGCGAGTCGAGTCTGTACAACGAGTTGAATCGGTGGTCGTGCGGGTGTTTGTGTACACCAAGGGCGGCGACTACGGATCAAACGATCGTACGGTTTTATAGGGTTGATATTAATAAATAGGGACAGACGTCCCGGCACGGGTGACCGAGCCAACAGGCGTTATTACTAGTCGATATCGTACGAACCTGGGCCACAAACGCAGCACAGCACCAGCTATACGACACGCCGTCAAGCAGGCGTTACAAGACTTGTTACAGCTTCCTTTTGTATTTTAAATTATTATAGCAATTAACACATCTTGTACAATCGATTAATTGCGGGAATCCATTTTAACGAAATGGGCAAGGGCATAATGCATTGAACACCTCTGATCCACACTGCACGCAGATGCAATAGTAAAGCGTTTTTAAAATATTTTTCTTGCCAGCCAGCCGACCCTGTTTGCGAGCTCTGGGTCTTACTCGAGCCAAACCGTAGTCCTCGAATAGGTGTTCCTGCTTCAGTTTCTAAGCGTTCCAGGTAATAAAGCGCACTGTAGCTGATCCACGTTTTGAACCCACAACCCAAGTTGGACCTGGCTTAATGATGGATTGTCGGCTTTGTGGTGACAGATCTGACGTCACTGTGCATTCGTCTGCCTGTTTCGCGACATGGGTGGAATCTTGGTGGGCGAAGGTGTAAGCGGCATTGCAGTGTTGGGCGGGGAATTGATAAATGCCACCACAAGCCGGCACCAATCGAGCCACTTCGCAATTAGCAAAACGCAACGCTGCCCCCCTGTCATCTGAACCACTATCAATATTGTGTGTACCGTGTATTGGGTACCGCTTCGAAAAGTGATTCCTCTATATAGCAATAACATGCGGAGTGGATCGTCTGTACTGGTAGAGGAGACAAGAGCTCTAAATTTTCTGCTAGAAACAAGACTAAAACATGCTCGAGTTGCAGATCCTAATAATCCCTTTTTCCTATTTGGGCTATCGCTCGGGCACGGAAATTTAGAGAAGAACGCACAATATAACTTCGTTAAAAAAACTTCTTGCTATCATAACAGTGGAAAAATTATGGTATCTATGACAGCTCGACACAAAATAGGCCTTAGATTTGGTGGGCGTTGCGAGCCACAATCAAGCCCAAATGAACTCCCCACCCGGGTTTAGGCCATGGGACTTCCGGAGGGATGACGAAGTTGTCTAGAATATCACGGCTTCCCATTTTTTGCATATGTTTCCAGCAACGGAGAAACACACTTTTCATATCCCTTAGGGGAAAGCTGTAGGCTGACGCCCAACGATTCAAAACTTTGGCATTTTGGCCAAAGAGGGAGAAGTAGGACCCTGCAGAACGAAACCGTGAAAGTACATTTCCCAGTTCCCCCCCCCCCTCTTTTACAGGCCACGGATCGTGCGAGGGCACAACGAATCGTGCAGGGTCCCTGCAATTTTCATTCTTGGATATGTAAATTTTAAACGCAGACACGATGCGTTCAGTCCACACAAAGTCGTCAACATTCCAAATGAAATCCAGCGACGTGAGGA